CGTTTTGGAGGGGGTGGAGATACGCAGCTACACCACCGAGGCAACTAGCAAGGAACAGGCGACAACACTCCACAAGGGAAGTATAACCAGGCCCTCTCTCCCTCTCTCTCTCTACCAGGTAAGAGGTGCAGGGCGGTCCAGCCCCACACCCCGCGCGCGAACGCGCCCCTGTAGTTCATGGGTGCGCATGCCTCCCCCCCCCTACGGGATGTTCCCATAGGGGGCTCGGCTATACGAGGAAAGATCGCTGAACGGAGTCCCCCAGTTGAATACGACAAAGCAAAGCCAGTAAGCAAACTACTATGCAGCAACTCGCATTGTTAAGGCGGAGACCAGAAGTTCAGCGGGGGGACTCCAAACTGCTGAAACAGGTTCGGAAAATTCGGAGAAAGCTCCGCAAGAAGCGGGGGAACAAGCAGCAGAACAAGGAAGCACGCTCGGCTAGCTCGACGATGGCGACCCCAACTCCAAAGCAAGCTCGCCACCAACCACCGCATGGGGGAGCTGTTGGATGTGACAAAGGCACGCACTCGAAATGGAAGCCATGGGAGAAGAGAGCAACTTGAGGAGACTACCCCACCTGACTGGGGTCACGACCAGCAGACCCTCCTCAATGGCCATGGGGGAGGACGGGCCGCCCCTCAGATCGACGTGAAAGCAGCGGAGTTCTCGCGCAGAGACCTCGTGAGCCGGCGGGGGAACCGCCACCGAGAAGCCAAGGAAAATCTGGAACCCATGACTCGCAGGGGGGACGGGCCCACTTACTCCCGAACCCCACTTGGAGGAGCGTGCAAATGGTCCAAGCACACATGGCAAGAAGCCGTGAGAAAAAGGAGACCTCGTGAAGCTACGCACGGGGGAGCAGCAGAAAGGAGGGGGATGATGTTCTCTCGATGCAGTTTTGTCATACCATGATCTTCGCAGCCGCTGTGAAAAAGTCCGTGATCGTCTTCTGTAGGGGGGAATAGGTGTAAAGGTGTAAATTTTTTACAGGCTTAGCAGCCCTCTCCGATCAGCCTAGTACAAACGGGCCAAACGCCCAAAATCCTCGCTTCTTTTTAGCTCACCTCGATGCCTTTTCAGTCCATACTTCGTTGGCTCGAAATAGGGGGAATCTCTCAAAGGCCCAAATTAATTCCGTTCAACCTATGATACTTTCAATCAACCTGCTCATACGTAGCGGGGGGAGACTTGCATGTTTTTGCCTGGGAGCCCCGAACATTTGGAGTCCCCCCGCTGGACCACTGTCTCTCTAAAGGAGGCATGCACCAGTGCACATGCACGGATCTCAAGTCTGTCCCGTTGTGAATGCTACCCCCTCACTCCCTCGCTCTCTGCCGTGCTTGGCAGGAACAGTGCACTCTCTGGAGTACTCCGATTCCGTGCTCCCTCTCTCTCTATCTCTACCAGGCTTGGGGCTCAGGGTAGGTCAGACCCCTTGCCCCGCACATGAACGTGCACCTGCCGGTCCAGGCAGGATTTAAGTTGTCTCGACGGTGGATTTTCCCCCGAGCTTCCTCTCTCTCTCTCTCTCTCTACAGGGCCAGGAGAAGGCAACGGTCCAGCTGCCCCTCCACTCTCTCTCTCTCTCTCTTTTCTTTCGGCAGGGCTATGGGCATGAGGATTTCTCCCCATGCCCGCGCGCCGGTGGCGCCCCCGACTGGTGCGGAGGAGGCTTGGGACATCGCACACGAAAACAAGGCCATATTGGCATGTCCTGTGCTGGTATCTCTCTCTCTCTTCTTCCTCAGTGCTTAGGGAGCATCTGAAGCCCCCCCCCTGCCTCATCCACCATTTTGGACGGATGGGCTAGACTCTAGACTACACATGGGGGCGTGCCTCGGAGATTGCTCATGAGGCGTCCTCTCTTTCTTTCGACAGGGTTAGGGGCAGGAGAATTGCCCCCCCTACCCGCGCGCGTGCTCTCTTTCTTTCGCCAGGGCTACGACCGAGGGTTGCCCCTCGATCGCGCGCGTCAGCGCCCCCCTCTGTTACGGGGCCATGGGTGAGATTAAGCGCGGTGCAACATCGAGGCAATCTGCGATCAAGCAAAGCCGACAAACACATGACAACGAGTATAAGTAGGAAGACTGATTGCCCAGCCTGTTGGACCTTGTTTGGGGCCTTCCCCCACACTGTTCCAGGGGGGCCCTACGTTCGAAAGGCGGGAGCCACGAGCCACTAGTGCCCAAGTTGAGCGAGTGCTCGAGCTGAGGTCCAAAACTCACTTCCTGCTTACAGACCCTGCCTCCACAAGCAAAACTCAACCGGGGGCCACCCCGAACCCACTCAAGTGACCCTACCGAAGACAATGAAACCTGAACGAAAGGAAGAGGCAGGTTCGGGTCAAGGCACAAGCGGCATCAAAGCATGCCTCCCCTCAGGCTCGAGTTTACAAAGAATCAAGGAGCAAGGTAGTAACAGGGGCCTAGTGCAAAACTCGTTCCTGAGCTGAGGGCAGTGGCATCGGTTCGGAAGTGAGTTTACCCCACAGCTGGCCTAGACAACCTCACCCCTCCCTTGAACCTTCTGAAGACAAGGAACCTGAACGGAAATCTATGGTCTTAGAGGGCTACTCCCCCTGCCACGCTCAGCCGTTTTCTGGGGTAGGCCCCCTCAGTGGTGGGCGAGTCCGGAGGTCACTCTGCATCGAAGGCTGCATGTGCTCGCCTCCGTCTGTGGGATGCGACCGACACCGTCTCCTCGTCGCTCAGCTCGGCAGGCAACGTGGGGGCCAGTTCCACGGTCGGCAGTTCACCCGCCGATTCATGGTGGCCCGGTCCATGGCTTTCCAGACTGTCGGTGAGGACAATGGGCTCCCCCCAAAGGGCTTCTGTCCACTGCGAGAGTAAAGAGTGTACCTCTTGGAGTGTCGTCGCCACTTGCTGTTCGGTGAAGGGCATGACTCCCTCGAGGATCTGCTGCGCTCTAAGGATGTTGTAAGGTGCTGCCTCTGGTTCCCGGCCACGTCGAGCTTCGCGAGGTAGTCCAGGGTCTTGTGGTCGTCCATCATGAGCTGGCGGAGGTACTTCAGGATGGTGGGGTTTGTCCCCCAGCTGCGGATCAGTGCTTTTGTTGGCTTTCGGGGGTTGCCAATCGTCCCCAACTGCCGGCTGGTAGCACGGTACGCCGTCGCTGCCCGAGGCTTGCTCGGTTTTCCTTTTCTTGGGAGACGGACTTCCCCCATCTGTGTTGTTCTGGAAGTGCTTTGCGATCCATTCAAGCAGCTGGTCCAGGTAGCGGCTGCAACGCTGGGTGGCCGCCAGGGCCAGCCGGAGGTTCTCGTCCAGGCTTGCAACGCCTCCTTCTTCTATAGAGAGGTGCGCAAAGCTGACCCCATCCAAGGCGTTCTGGGAGGCGGCGGTGCCGGGTAATGCTCCCGGAGCGTTGGGGTCTCTGGCCCAACTTTTGAACACAGCACGGCCGTCACGCAGGAGGCTTTCTGCTCGGCGAAGTTCTTTTTCAAGATGTCGTCGAGGGAGCTCTCGATGGTGATGGACCAAACTGTCCAAAGCAGCCTCCGCTTCAACGAAGGCATTTGTAATGCAGAAGACCATTGCGGTCGGCCCGGGCGCGTCAGCGCGGTCGGGGTGGTCCCCCGCAGGTGGTGCTTGCTGTTGTCCGTCATTGGTACTCTGCAACTTCGAGAGGTAATAGCAGGCGTGGTAGGCCAGGTTGGTGAGGTACTCGTTGGACTGCGTAAAAGATTGCTGGAGAGTCTCATGCATGATTCTGTGCAGAAGGCGCAGGAGGCCGCTGACTGTGTACTCGCCATCGAAGTTGGCTGCCACTGAGAACCATTGGTGCTCAGTCTCGGCCGGAGGTGGCGGTAGTGGAGCAGGTAGTGCATGTGGTGGGCATGGCTCGTCGGAGCCCGACCCCCGAGCTGGATCGCCGGCTTCTGCAGGTGGTTGCGGTCGTTGTCTTTGCATGAACATCACGAGGTCGTCCTGGGCGGTTGGCTCTGTGGGTGTCCGAGAGTTGTGTTGTACGAGCCCGGTTGCGTCATCGGGCGGGGCTGGGTCCTCGCTGGGCCAGCTGGTTTCTGTATCGGACCCCGAAGAAGGCGGTGGCGGTGGCTTTGCTTTGGCAGTGGGTCGCCCCCATCTCTGGCTTCTTGGCGAGCGCCGTCTGGGGGCTTCGGCTTGCTGTGCGGCGGCCTGAGCTTCCATGTTGTGCTTTCCCCCTTGGTCGCCGATGTTCTCCGCTGATGCCGCGGGTCTCGAGGAGCTGGAGGCATCTGTCGTAGGTTGTGGGGGGACCTGCGCTGGCTGAATAAGCCTTCCCCGCAAAGGCCGCGTGTCCACGAACCGCTGCGGGTTAAACCCCGCTGGTTGTCTGGGCCGTCCTCGAGGAACGTCAGGGGGATCTCGTCGTTGTGGGGGTGTCGGCGGCCTCGGTGCTTTGTCCTCGGGGATCACGGAGAAACCTCCCAGGGCCTGAACGTCATTGTCGAATCTGGGCCGACGTTGCCAAACTTTTTCCACACCACGCCATTCAAGCCAAAAGCTTTGCCCAGAGCGAAGCGGAATGCGGTTTGGTGCTGCAGGCGGTGCATGATCGACGACCACTAGCCAGTATCTAGGCGTTCTGGCAAACCCTAATTCGAAGCGTGTGGTGGCGATCCATGCACCGGCAGGGTGGATCGTCATGTGCAGCGAGTCGGGGAGAACCTCCCCGTCAGATTGGCCAGAGAGGGTCTTGTAAATGACAATGGTGGGCTCCACTTGTTGCCTTGGCGGGTGTTGTATAACTGACCCCGCAGGAGGAGACCAGGTAGCTCCTCGCCACGCCCCAGTGGCGGTGCCTCTCATGCTCAGGACTGTGTTGGGATGCAGTGGCATCGGCGGTGGTCGCGTGCGAGGTGTCACCCCCGGCACCCAGGATATGTCATGGCTGTTATCGTCCACGCGCACGCTGCTCCGCATGCTTGGGCCTTGGCCTTCGACTGTCCATGGGGGAGCCTGCCCCGATTGAATGGCTTCCGCTGCTTGCTGGTCTAGGTCACTCGTGCCATAGAGGGGTGGGCCCCCTGTTTGTAGGGCTCCATCTTCTCGTGGTAGCAGAGGGGTGGGCCTGCTGGACGATGACGAGCTCGAACTCTCGTGTGTCAGGTGTCTCGGTTGTACTACTAGCTGGTCTCCTTCGACGTTGTGCAGGCTGTTGTCCTGGTTGTTGACGCGGACGGGGTCTGTCTGCAGCGGCTCGTTGTAGCGGTATTGTTCCGGTCTGTTATCCACCACCCGAATAGGATAATTGTGAACTCCGTCGCCTCGTAGCTGAACCGTAGTGCTGTCCGTAAGTTTCCTCCACACCTTTTGTTGGCGGACTGGTCTCGGAGGGTCTTCTCGGTGCCCGTCCGGTAGCTGGAACTGAACTTGTTTCGGAATCCTCCTCGGCTCTTCTTGTGGCATGCTTGCTCGGAGAGGGTCGCGAAGAGGAGCATCCCCTGTCGGCTTGGGTTGGGTGCGCTGCTGGGTCCCCGGGCTTGCTCCGGCTTGGGCCTGGGTCGACTGCGCCGTGGAAGAAGATGCCATAGTCGAAGAGCTCGTGGCGGTTCTTTTTGCGGCTGGCTGTAGATATGGGTTGTTCTGCCGTCGTTGGGCATGGTCTTGCCGAGCTTGGTTCGAGGCCTTGTCTCCCCGAGCCGGTTCCGGATCTGCATGGGGACGCGGCGGGTGGTGGGGGATCAGCTTCCCCTGGGCATCGTAGCTGTAGAGGTGGGCAGAGAGTAGTGCAGTGAGGTGCGGGAGCGGTTCCTTGTTCGGGGGCTTCTCGCCCCTAAGGATGTAGTCGAGGGCTCTTCGCCAGCTTAACCACTTTGGCTTCTTGCCCCAGTCGAGTTCTCGCCATCTTTTCTTGACGTCCGACTTCCTGGCCTTGTTGGTCACGCGCTGGGAGCCATGGCCGGCTTTCCTCTTGGGGGGTTGTCCCCCCGTCTGGGTGGCTGACCCTTGTGGTGCATCGTCCTCCTCCTCACTGTCGGCCGAGTCGCTATCCCAATCTGGGTCATCTTGGATGTCGACCAGTTCATCGTCCTCTGCCGCGGGGATGTCATCCTGGGGCTCGGCAACGTCGTGTTGGGTCTCATGCTCAGCTTCCCCTTGCTCAGGTTCCATTTCCTGAGAAGGCGCGGTAGCAAGCAGCAGGGCGTCGTCCGGTGCGGCGTACTCCCCCTCTCCAGGCAACGCTGCGTCGCAGCTATCGTCAGGGTCGTTGGCACATGTGGAGGCCTCGCTCGCGGTAGGCGAAGGGATTTGCCGTCGATGTCGATGACGTGCAAGTCCTAGGGCGTTATGGCTCCATTGCTCCGGGGGTAGTAGAGGTCCTTGTGAGGCGTACGTCCTGGCAATAACTCCCCACGGGTCCATCGTGGGAGGCTCGAACTGCCCAGCCCCCGGGTGCTGAAAACTCCCTGCTGTTCCCTGAGAGCCTTGGGCTGCTGGTTGCCATTGTGGAGCTTGTTGTAGAGGAGGATGAGTAGGAAGGCCAGGGGGCGGTTGGTCGAGGTCGTCTTCCCACGGATCGTAGGGCTGGGATGTCATCATAGGCGGCCCATGTTGTTGGTGTACTTGGCCTCCTTGTGGTGGCAGCTGCTGCCGATTTGCGAGGAGGGCTCCCATTTCGGGCGAGATGCCGTCAAAGGTGCCATCTTCATGCCAGGGGTCCGCTGCAGGATCATACCTGGGGGCATAGCCAATCCTATACGTAGGGTGTGGTTGTTCCCCTGCGTGGGCTGCGGCTTGACCAGGGTGGTATTGCTGCTGAGGCGGTGCGCTCATCCCGGGCATGTGATAAACTGGCTGAGCTGGAGTCTGAGGCTGGTGCGCGGTATGGTGCCCATGTGCTCGGAGTTGTTCAGGTTGTCGAGCTTGCGGTTGGCTTTGGGCTCGCTGCTGGTTCAGTCCCGGGAAGGCCGCCGTGGATGCTGTCGCCGAGCCGGGATTTTGTGTAGCCTCCCGGCGGCCTCTTTGTCGGGGCTTGTCTTGCGGGCGGGCTGGCTCCGGCATGGAGGGGGTCCGCCCCTGTTCACGAACTGGCATGTCCGTCACCTCGTCGGCTTCCATGATCCTGGGCTCTGCTTGTGGTTCGGGCTCTAAGGGAGCCCATGGCATTTCCGACGAATCGCTGTCTCCACTGGACTCCACAATCACAACTTGCGGGCTGGGGCTGGGGCCCGCCCTTCCAAGGAGGCACCAAACTCCACCCAGTAGCAGGCAGCCGAGGCCACACGAGGTGCGGCGCTGGCTTGCAAGGCCGGGCGCTCGGAGCGGGCGGTACATGGTGCACCGGGATCTTGCTGTTGCAAGGCAGTTTGTAGGCTTGAGACACAGGCTGCCACAGGTACGCAGCTCACTTGCAGGGTTCGCACATGGTACAATCGCATGTTCTCGGCGCTGCACTGTCATGTAGATGCAAAACAAGTGCAAACTGGTCATGCTCTGTCATGTGTGCACATGTTCAACTCAACGCTGGGCTCTTGCGTGGGCACTGCAGTCGGTTGGGGAGGGGAACTAAACCTTAGGGAGAGGGATCATGAACATGGATGGCAGGGTTCTTGCACACGAGTGGCAATTAGGCGGTCGATGTTGCGGCGTTGTGGATTGGTCGGGGGGGCGGGGGAGCGGCGGGAGGGGGGGGAGAGCTAAACCCGAGGGGGAGGGGGGGAGGGCAGGGCGGTCATCAAGTCAGAGCATCTTAAAGGAACCACTCAACTATCCTGCAAAGCAGTCATTAGTGGGGTGGCTGCAACGACACGAGTTTCGGGGCCAGTGCCCAGACGAAGCCCACCCCGGTAGTCGGATGATGGTTGTCTTCTGTTAGGGGCGAGGTTGGGGGCCCCCGGCAGTGTGAGTTGGTTCCCGCTCGCCCAGGGTGGGTCGAAGGCGTCGATGAAGCGCTTGCACATATGCTGCCATTGAGGCCTGTTGTTCGCGGCAACCCACCATTGGTTGCCTGCAATTGCGGAGATTTGTCTCTCCGGGTCAACGTGCGGGTTATGGTGGCCTACATGTCTAACTCCCCTTGGGAAGGGGCCAGGGGGGAGGGCCTGTTGGTCCTTCCACCACGTTAGGTCCCTCCAGCGGAGGATGTGGAAGGTTGGGGCAAAGGTTGCCCGTCCTATGTGGCCCCAGAGCTGCCACTGCATCTGTAGCGAATGGGTTGACCATCTCATGATCTTATACTGGTGCAAGGCTGCTCGGGTCTTCCTCATCGACCTGATGTGCCAGTCTTGCCAGGCTTCCGTCGGGGAGCGCCCCCCGCAGATCATGGTGCGGGCTTGCAAGAGTTGGGTAGTGTTGGCAGCTTGAAGTAGCGCAGCTTGCGGAGGCCATGCGGGGCACCCCCACAGCGCAGCACTACGCACGAGAGTTTGGTGCATCCTGAGGCGGTCAGCGACCGGCGCACGCGAACAAAGTAGCTTTCGGTTGGCGTGGAAGGCGCAGCGAGCTCTGCTTTGCATCTCAGCCACTAACGGTGCAATGGCGCCGGAAAGCGTGACTGGTGCTCCCAGGATGGTGAGGATGCTATGCGGCCCGTCAGGGGCGACTTCGACCCCTCCGATGGTGAAGCGAAAAGGATCATCTGGGATGGTGGAGACTACATGCGTCATTTTGGCATTGATACGCAGGCCGAGTTCAAGAAACTCCTTTTCTAGTGCAGTCAGGACTTCTTGGACATACTCTGGGGATTCCCCCCATACGTACGTATCATCCATAAAGGCTGCTCCAGAGTGCGGAGGCGGCTCAAGCGCCCCGTGTCGGCCTACATGCGGGGGTTTCCCCCCATTGACCTGGTTTAGCACTGCGTCAAGGGTTTCCCCTATGGCTGCGGCGAACAAAACCGGGCTGTCGGGGCTGCCCTGCCGTACCCCGTTGGTTTGTTCAACCGAGACTTTGTGCTTTTGAACGTAGAAGTTCAAACTACGCGCTTCGAGGAGTCGAAGCCACAGGCGCGCTTCCCAAGGCATCTCGCCCCGGTGGGCTATCTTGCGCATCACTAGGTCGCCGAGTTTTTCTTGCGCAATCGAGTCGAAAGCCTTCGCTATATCTATCTTAACCACATAAAAAGGGGTGCGCCATTCGTGAGAGACGCGTGCTAATTTGCGCATGGCAAGAATGAGCTCGACGCCTTGCTTGTGCCTGCTCGCCCATTGGTGCTGGCAGCACTCGAGGAGGGCGGGTGTCCCCCGCAACAGTAGCAGTTGAGCTATCCACTTGAGGACTGCGCTAGACAGGGTGATAGGCCTGGTATCAGACCAGCCTTGAGGTGTTGCTGTCTTGGGCAGCAAGACCGACGCGCCTTCAGTGACCCAGGGGGGCATGTCCCCCCTATAAAGGCTATCGTTGAGAAGCTCGGCGATGCGAGGGCGCCACCTAGGGTCTTCGAAGAGAAGCTGCAGTGCTTCCAGGGCAATACCATCTGTGCCCGTGGCCTTGTGCCTCTTCCATTTAGACATGGTAATTCGCATTTCTGCTTCACTAAAAGGGCGCCACGGTTGGTGCTTGCACATATGGGAACACTTGTCCCGCATGTGTTGCATGGCTTGCTTGGTGGTGTCTGCTGACCGCTTGGCGAAGATCGAGGTCATGTGCTTGCGGAGGTCTCCCTCCCAGGAATCGTTATCGAGCAGATGCTCTGCCCAATTGGTGCGGGACGATTTCATCTTGATGGCACGATACGCGTTCCATTGCATGGACCCCGCTTGGTCCGCGAGTTGGCGCTGCCATTCTTTCCTTTCCCGCTGGAGGGTCTTACTCACCTGCTTCCATGCGCTGCGTGCGAGCGAGCCAGGGGGGGCTCCCCTTGCGGCTTTACGGAGTTGCTTTAGTTCCTTGGACTCTTGGAACTTCATGGACCGGTGGACAGGCTCGCTGATTTGCTGGGCGACTGCGGCAATTGCATGATGATCATCCGCGTGTGCGGGCACTGCAGAGGCCAGTACTTGGTGACAATCAGCCTTGAGTTGCCTAGCACTCCAAATGACCTTGCCTTTGGGACCTGGCGGAGTCGGCGCGAGGGCAGTGGCAAGTATCGGTTCATGATCGGAACGCGCTCGGTCACGGTAGGCGCCGACTCTCGCCTCGCAGATGGTCAAGTTCCTGCTTGCTACATAGTCGATCCTTCGCGGGGCCAACTTTGGGTTGTAGGGAAAATGACTAGGGGAGTCACAATCTTGGGAGGGGAGGCAAATCGCTTGCTCGGTACACCACGTGAGGATCTGTTCGCCTCTACCTGTGCAAGATAGGGTCTCCGACTCGAGCAATCCTCCTGGCTGAAGGAAGGTCTCATTTGCGTCAAATCCGAGCAACATTTTTTGCTCGGCACACGCTGGGGTTTCCCCCCATTGTTGCAAGGCAGCAGCGGTTTCGGCAATTGTGAACTTATGCGAGACATGCCCAGAGACAAGTCCTATGCGTTTGCTGTTATGCAGTCTGAGGCACGTGGTGCAGGCAGCGAGGCGGAGGTGGGAGGTATGGTGCACCCCCAGAGTCTTGCGATATGCAATTCCACACCCTCTCCACTCGGACTGTAATTTGCCGTGGATCAGCATCCACGTCTCGTTGTCAAGGAAGTGCGGACCGCCTTGCGTTGTAATCTCTTGGAGAAAGACAATGCAAAGGCAGACTAGGGGTTTTTCGCCCTGAAAATTAGAGAGGAAGTCCAGAACAGCTTCCGGGCTCATCCCTCCAATGTTCCAAGCAGCAAAATGCAAGGCATCACGCTGTGCCCGGGAAGGAACCTCCTGTTGAGATGCCTGGGGCCTTTGCGCTGGCAAATGGTGAAACATGGTGGGGTCTTCCCCCAATGCGAGTTCGGCATCGGTTCAGCGCAGTGCCGCTAACAGCGGCTCCCACGTTTTGGCGAGTAGTTGAGGGTCTACCCCAATGAGCTCGGCAATGCGCGGCAAATCGATCCAACCACAACCAGCACTACTGGAGCTTGGGGGTCCTGCGGACGTCCCCGAGGAGATCTTGGTGTCCTTCAGCCAGACCGTTCCAGTAGCCCACTCAGGTTCAATGCGAGACACCAGGGAGGAGCCCCCTGCCTCAATGATGAGTCTTTTGACTTTGCCGGCAAGGGCAGCACGACGGCGACGCTCTGGCGGCTGGCTCAGGGTGAGCCACAGGCGGGCCTGGTTGCCATCTGGCTTCCACCCCAGTGAAATGTTCGACGTGTTGACCCGCCTGATGCATGTTTGGATCCTTTGCCTCATTGCTTCATCAGATTCGCCATCTCTCGGGGCGATGGGTACGAGGACAAAGCCTCGTCGAACTCCTGGGACGAATGCGTCGGCCATGCTGATTTGAAGTTGAAGGTCCCGTGCCATCTCATTCGCCTTAGCCAGGACATCTGCAGCCAAGGTATCGGGAGGCCAGCCTCCCATTACCAGGGCTGGGACGCGTCCCGAATCCATAGTTGACGGGGTACTCCCCGAGGATTGAATCGTCTTCACTGTGCCCTCCAAGTAGTTGATGCGCGTTGCCATTGCCTGTGAGTCGCTCATGAGTTGCTGCAATCGTAGTCCTTGCTCTGCTTGTCCGGTGGAGAGGGTCTCCACCGCTTGAAATGTTCTCTCGTTGTGGCTTTGGAGGCTACGCTCAAGAGCTGCAACTCTATCCGTGACTCCTCCAACCGCGCCTTGGATCTCTGTGCGGAGGACCTCCCTGATCGATTCCAAGCTGAGCCCTTCTTCAGGGGGAACTCCCCTTTTGCGTGCCGGAGATTCAGTTTCCATAGCTTGCTTGTTGAGAGCCATCGTGCCAATCGTAGGGCAAAGATTGTGATCTTCGCTTCCTGGCCACAGTCACGAACTTGCCCGGGATGGAGTCCTCGTTCGAGGGAGGGGTAGTCCCTGGTCGCACCGGAGTGGGGGGCTTTGCGTAGGCTCGCCGATCCCGTAGGCGCCGTTGTACGGGATGTCCTTAAGGTTCAGCGACGGCTGCGGTCACCGTACAGGAACGTTGCACACCAAGCTCCTCCTGAGAAGCGATGGGCTCGGACAGGGCACAGATCTCTTTCTTGGAGAACAGGAATCGCGGCACTGGCAAGAAGAGAGAGAACAAGAGTTTGGAGTTTCGCGCTCCCGGGTTGAGAGAGAGTGACCTCAGTGGGGGGAGAAGGCGCAGGGAGAATGGCTGTGAGGTCACCCCCCCTTGAACCACTCGCGGCTTGAGCCAAAATGGCTACGGCGTGCTCTCTCTCTCTCTCTCTCTCTCTCTTCTTCCTTCAGGTGCAAGGGGCTCTGTCTCTCTCTCTCTCTCTACCAGGTGGGGAGCCCGGGGTGCGTCCTGCCCCAAGCCCCGCGCGCGAGCGAGCGCCCGGGTGTCTCATCTTTTCCCCCCGAGGATTTTCCTCTGAGGGGCTCTGCTGTACTGGCAAAGGTGTTTCTCCCCCCCACCCGCAGTGTTGAGTTATCACACGACGACCACGACAAAGTTAGACTAATTGCACACAGCTGCGGACAGGTTTTGGGGGACTGTTATTTTTGGGCAACAACAAGTAACTGCAGAAAGCTTCAGACTGACCATCACGAGTCCCCCCGGCTATGTCCCTGTTCTGCTGTGCCTTTCTACCTGCTCTCTTTCTTTCGACAGGGTTAAGGACAGGAGGGTTTGCTCTCTCTCTCTCTCGCTCTCTCTCGCTCCTTAGCTCTTGGCCCCGCACATGTCATGCTTACATAATTCAACCATCCCTTCCTTCCTGCAAAAATCCGAAAACAGCGAAGCATCTCGCCAGCAGCTCTACACTCCCTCTCTCTCTCTCTCTCTCTCTCTACTCTCTCTCTCTCTCTCTCTCTCTTTCGCCAGGGCTATGGGCAGAGGTCTCTCTCTCTCTCTCTCTCTCTCTGTCTGCTGCACCACTCCGCACGAACATGCCATCTATCAGGTTTGCTTAAGACTTAAACCGTCTTGGGTTTGGAGGCCAACCGGATCACGTGAGGCAGCTGCGTCATGGAAATTATCCCTCATGTCGCTACGGCACTTCTGTCGTCACGGCAACTTCACGGACAACCCCAGCACCCCAACTTAATCGGCATGAAGAGACCCCATTGACACCGAATCTGTGCATCTCGAGCACCATTGGTCGAATGAAGCGTTCCATGTCCTTACAAAAGCCGCAGCTTTTGCACGGTCTGTTGGATCTATGACCGTTTAATTCAGCGGGTATGCACAAGCCACCCATCTTGCAGAAAAGTCACTCTGTCGCCGAACTGCTTGAAAACAGTCGCACTCCTGCCAAAGAATTGGGCTATGGGAGTACTTTCAGTGCCAAGCCGAAGAGAGACGGCATTTTTCATAAGCAGAACATGTCAGTGGTCCCACAAGCAGGCGGCCTCATGGTGTCGAACAGAATCCGCTCCCATGCTGAGTGCTTCGTCCACAGTTTCTCCTGGCAAACGGAAGTACAGACCGCCTGGTGCCATCAATGCAAAGGCCTGTGCGACCACATTGGTCTAGCACTAAGCTCGCGCATCAAGTTCAAGCATCTTGCCTGCGTGCATCGCGCATCTATACATCAGCACTCAACATATCGAAGAGCCACACATCAAGTGTGGAAGATGTCAACCCCTGCCGCACCCGCCGCACCCTCACACACCCTCAACTGCTTCGGAGCAGTCGACGCGCGGCTGCCGGTCCCTGATTTACACGGAATGGGCGGAGTGTTGCTGCCTCTGCCTTTGAGTCGACCAACTGGCTGGCATGCCGCCCTTCACACATATAGGAGCTACCAGTACGACGCCGGTGACGAAAAGACTTTGAACGGAGAAGTCCTTGTAGTAGCCCTTCGTCCATGGCTCGGCACAGACACCGCCACGTCTAGGCCGCATAAACGGCTGCACATCGATGACCTGACACGGACACGAAAAATACAGGGGCCACGACAAATGCCCACACTGAACTGGCCTTGCTGGACGCAGAACAGTGATGCAGAACCACCCCCAACGACATCACAGGCCTCGTCATCCTCTTCTTCTTCATCTTCAGAGAAGAAGTCTTGGCCGAGTCCAAAGGACTGGGTCCTGCGTGGAGCGCCGAACTTCACAGGACACGCTCTCTTACGGACTGAAACACGCTTGCTCTACCTCTTCCTGTTTGGCAGGCAACTAAGGCGATCGAACTTTAGCACTGCACGAAACACAGCTGCTGTCCTGCCATACTTCCCCGATGGACCCACGATTAGCTTCTTGCTGATGTTGCGAGACATTCTGAAGTTCCAGACTCAAGATCCAAGTCAAGTGCATGATCTGGCGTGAAACGCATGTATGCATCTGGGCCGCACCGACGAGCGCGCGGTCTTAGCGCTCCACGGCCATAGGCTTCAAATCCTTCGAGAACTCTTGAAGCCAGATGTGCCGAGTCTGCAAACAGAATCTCCATCATGACCGCACAACGGACACTGTCTCCGACACAGTGCGTACACTTGGGGTTGAATGCCGGTTCTGTGGCCACCCTCCCAAAGTCCCCAACGTCCTCCTGCGAGCAAGGACGCCCAGTGCCCGCGTTGTTGAGCCAGGCAAAGCTTGCGGTGGGCAGGCGGTATTGGCATGAGAAGTTCCAAGCTGCCGCTCTTCTAGTGTTGACATCTTTTGACGAATTTCGTACGACTATACTGAGCAGTTGGAGTGGCGGCCCCACGGTTCGCGAGTTCGTGTGCTTTCTGCCAGGCATGGCGCGCTTTACAGATTTACAGAGTCAGGCAACCTGCATGCCTCCGAATGCCACCATGGATGCACCTCCCACCTGGTCCCACTCCACTCGGACAGTGCCGAACGCCTCGGCAGCAAGAGGCGCACAAGCAGCACGGCCAAAGGCATACTGCACCCCGCAATCCACCCTCTCTCACAATGTTCGCTACTTCAGCAACGTGGCTGCAAAACTGCAAGCACAGAAAGCCTCTTCCCATGAGCCTATGCCTGGCTGAGACCTGCACCCCGCGAGGGAGGGCTCCCTCACGAACTGCCACGAGCGGAGTGAGGGGTCAGAGCCTCCTCAACGCGGGAGAATCGGAGCTTCAACATGCTTCGCTTCGCATCTTTCGAGTTCCAGGCCGTTCGATGCCAACGACCTGCAGGACCTCAGAAAGATGCGCCCATGTACCGACGGCTTCAATCGTCCATGTGCCGCTGTGCCACAAATACCTTGATTAGGTGCGAGCGTTCGTTTCTAACCGGCCCGTTCAGCCGTTGGCATGCAAGTCTCAGATTTTCTGGGCTGCTGTCCGATGTGCCAAGAAGTACACAGTACGTGCCAGTTCATACCCTCACTCCGCTAAAGACCTAATTTACTTTTTCGACACAGCCCAAAGATAACGAGGCGATGAGACGCGACGGGCAATGGATGTTCCTCTCGCCCACACGTGCTACCAGATTCCCACAAGCTAACAAGCACACAGCTCGCAGAGCTCATGAGCTTTTCTCACTCGCTTGTTTTGCAGCTTGCCGCAATACTTCCACAACCTGCCATCTGCAATGCAATTCACAAGTCAGACGAGTAACTCTCTCTTCTTCCACGGGGCATTGGGGGCTGTAAAGGTCCCCGCCACTTGGGCCCCCCATTTGTTACGGGGCTTTTAAGGTTACTCTCTCTCTCTCTCTCTCTGATTTCACCCCTGCTATCCATTCGCGACGAGGCGTGCGGACGGCCCCCGACATCTGACAAGCGCTTAACTTGTGCCATTCGATGACCTTGCTGTTCAGCGTGCCCTCGGCATGGTCAATAGCCCTTTGGCCATTCTCATCCACGGCATTTACATCCTCGGGAAGTTGGGAACGCGCAAAAAGAAGAGCAGCAGAAAAGACTCGTGCTGACTTGATGCATGCGCTTGCGGGGTCTTCATGTCTTCAGCTGTAAACATGGTGGTCGTGGAATCGCAGTCCAGGGACAGCTGAGGATGCGCATAGGACCTTCACGCAGTCGATCTGCTGGTTCATGGCAGCGAACCTTGCCACTCGAGGCTGCCGTCTCTTGGGACTAAGGTGCCCTGAAGCATAACCCAGCAATGCCCAGGTACATCAGCGGTGTTTCTCCCCTGGCGACGACATATCAGGGACACCGCAAATTGCTGATAGCTTACTTCAGTCATGTTCTACCCTCAACTCAAGGGCAAAGACACCGCCAGCCTCTGCGTGTGCGCTTCGAGAGGGCACTTGTGCTGGATCAACAAGGAAACGAGCTCCTGCACTAGCACAGGAAACTGGTTGCAAACAGTGGCACTGCACACAAGGCATCCATCCACAGCAAACGTGCGCAGTGAGGCTAGGAAAGAGAGAATAAACCCAAAGCCGTAGTTGATGTCGGCATTTCGGCCTGACCCTACATCGTCACACAAGGAAAGATTCTCAGCGACAGACACCTGAACGCTGCAGGAGGTGCGGTAGATGCTTGCGGTAGCCCTGCGTGAGTGCTTGAGTGCTTGTTGGTAATAGTAAATAGTAACGGAACAGTTCCGAGAGACGTGGCATAACAAGCATAACACCGTATGGCATGACCTATGGTCCAACCAACATGGCAAGCACGTCTCTCAAGTTCCTCCTGCGAGGCAGCACCAAAAACAAACTTGCACAGAAAAACAACACGGCGGTGCATGCTCCTGTGCCATGGAGACAACCAGGGCTGGCAGACTAGAGCCAGCAACATGTGGCTTTACTTCCCCGTGTTACTTGTGGCAACAGGCCGATACCGCGAGCAAGGTTACCTCTTGAACTCGGAACATTCGGCATGAGAACAGCCTGGGGACCTCCCGAATGAAACGTCAACGCAGCACCCAGCACCAGAACATGGCATCCTTGTTGCCACACTGAACGGCACCAAAAAGGCCGTTCTGTCCGTCTGCATCCTGGTGCTCGATCTTAGCCCGGGCAGCAAGAAGGTCCTGGATCGGCCAGATGCTGTCGTTTGCCGCGGGTGCGACCCCGCTCACTTGTGCGGGGTGTGATGCTCAGAAATGTCCGCATGGTGCTCAGATGTGCTCAGGAGTCTCCGGCCAAGGCTCCGCCACGATGGAATCGCGGCCGACTGCGCATGCCAGAAGCAGAGCCGTCTTGCCACCCTTGCTTGGCAGATCTACCTGGAACAAAGCGAACCGGTACGACTCGAGGGTGAGACGACTAGGACATAGTTCAGGTTTTGAGTGCTAGCTGCTGCTAGCTAGAAGCTGCATGTCTTCCAGACCGCGCCTTCGCATCTCGGCTGAGGAGGCCACGGACTACAGCCGTATGCCTTCACAGGAGCTGCACCAACGTTGTCGTGTTCAAGTTTACATCACAATTCTTTTCTGATCGAAACAAGCATGTGCCAGTGTACCCCATGGCCGCTGCCCACATAAGGGCAGTTTGGTGCTCAGAGTCCAGCTGGTTCACCTGACAAGAAGAATTGATTTCTGCTTCCTATGTACTGCTGCACCCGCCGTCTCCACCCCACCGAAGTACTCAAGATCTACCACCCAAAACGTGGGGTTGTTGTCGGCTGACAGACGCAAAAAACACCGCCAAACTACGAATAGGAAGGAGGATGAACGATAACGATAATACAAAGAGACCGTAGGAGCTGCCGCAGAAGGCCAACAGGCAGGCGCAAGAGGAGGGTTCTGCGAGGGGCGACACATAATGGCGAAAGCAGATGTAGCGAATGGTCAGGGCCTGCAATGCAGCTGAAGAGCAAGCCCAGAACTGCTGCACGGACCAGACAATGGCACTTTTTAGAACAGGGCCGGATATGGATCCCAGCAACCTCAGAGCCGCCCTGTAAGCCCCAACGGTGGTGAAAGTGGCCTTCGCACCCTCTTCCAACAAGAAGTCACACACTTCCTGACGGCAAAATCTTCGACCTCTTGCTGACCGAGTGAACCGTCATCTCAAGCAGTCTTTGCACAGATCCGTCACTGCCCCAAGCACAATCAACAGCGCCAGACATAGCCGTCTCGCCGGGAACTGTACGAGAGTGAGTACATCTAGACTCTAGAACCAGAAGTGAACCAAGAGCAGCTTGGCTTCCCAGTGCCCGTTTGCTGCGGCTTTCATCAGCGCTGACTCACCGCGTTCGGTCACCTGTTCCGACGGCACACTGTAGAATCGAACACTCTGACGGGAAAAATAGCATGACAGAGCCGCATAGTCCGCAGCAGCGTCATAGCTCTTGACGAGCATGTCCTCGGAGCATGCACCACTGGTACTACGTTTGCCACGGCCAGGCAAATTCTGCAGGCAAGGTGCGCAGATGTCAACGTTTCCGGCCAGTGCTGCCCACATAAGCACGGTCCACCCGTGGTCATCTTTTAAGGTCTCGGCAGTGAAGACCAAGCGAATTCAACATGTAACACAACATGCTCACACGAGTGCGCACTGTTGGTCATCCGTGTCAAATCCAAGCGTCCAGGGAAGCTCCTTCTTCGATCAACTGGCGTGCAATTTCCTAGGACGAAGCTCGAAGCTCTTCTTGGATCACAGGGCTGCGGCAATCGCAGAGTGCTGGGGAAAGCTTACAGGCATACGGTCTCGAATCTCTGGCTAGGCTCAAGCTCATCGCTTTCGGCGGCCTTCCTTGGCTGGACTTTCCATGACTTTCCATTACACGTCGCAGCACCGCTGTGACCAGATGCTTGTTGCAGGCAATCTGCATCAGCGCTGTCACGCCTTCGTCATCTTTGACGTCCAGCACCCGCTGCTTCTCGATTTGCAAAAGCTTGGCGCTGTCGGAGCCCATGATGCTGCTGCTCTTTTTCCCTCGGGTCCCGCCGGAGATGTTCTTTCATGGACGGCCCACGTCAATCTGCCAAGCAGCGTTGCAGCAGCTGCGCATCGATGAGGAAGCGGATTACATCCACATGCCCAGATTTGCCTTAAATGGGGTCGCTCTGGCTCGCACATGCGTCAACACCGCCGCTACAAACCTAAGCAAAGGCATCACCACACTCGACGGCCAGGCTGCAAGCCTTCATCAGTGCAGTTTCGCCCGTATCATCTTTGGCAGAGACACGTGCACCCTTCTCCACTAAAAATTTGACGACCTCAGCATGCAGAAATCACTTGGGATTGGAATGAAGCAGTCGTCAGACAAGGGAGAAATCTACAACAAGATGAGCCCTTTTGCAAGCCAGCCACGTGCATGTGGCCCGCCTCGGCGGCATACATCAAGGCACATGAGCCTTCCGAGTCTTTCTGGTCCACTTTGACCTTCGGCTCCTGGAACAGTGGCACGTGGCATTCAAACGGGCACAATTCGTGAATTTGGCAGCGAAAATAGCACAGGTCAGCTTTTCCAGTGCCACCACAACATGAGATCTCCCGTCCGTCAAAGCCCGCTGACAAGCATCCACCGAGCCATTTTTGGCAGCCTAGCGTCCGACCATCGAAGCACACAGCGCAAGCAATGCAGCAAAAAGAGCTCAAGCTTTTGTCAATTGACGAAGCACAGCCGCACTGGCCTCGATAAGCGGGTGAGTTGTCACGGTGACACCCTTCCCCTGGTGATTCTTCAAGGCAGCAAGGAGGTTGCTCGTCATGGCAGGCTTGTCGTAGAGCAGAAGTGAGTTGGAAATCTGCACCCCTTTCTTGGCATGTTAGAAGCCCGGCTCTTTGCTGCATGTCTCCGTATTTCTTGGATTCCTGCTGGTGGCAAGTATCGCTGCAGCGAGGCTGGACTGGAGCTGTTGAGGGCTCTGCGGCTTTGAGCAACCAGAAATCGAGAAGGAGCCTCTGCCAAGCACACAACGGCGACTTCCCCGCACATGCCCAGGCAACACGTGTGAGTTGATCAGAGGAAGCGTTGACATTAGGAGATCGAGGTATGCGAACGCTTACTTGCAACTCCACTGATCAGGTTGTTCACCGTCTCAATTCTGCTAAGGCCTGCTCTGTGCATCCTCGGAAGAGTGCGGCGACCGTGGGCCCTGGCAGCCGCAGCCGTGGGAAGTTTGACAACTCCCTGCGAAGCTAACGAGGGCTTGCAAATTACGGTGGGCGTCGAAGCCAAGGTTGGGATGCAGCGAAATTGCAAAGCGGTTTTCCAAAGGCGAAGGCATCGAGATTGTCGAATCCTGAGCTCAAAAGCCAACCAATTCCCTCTAATAATCTCCGAGCTTCTAGAGTCTAGTCTTCATCTGGTTCATATCCACAGGCCTCGAGTCGCCCCCATGAACCTTGCAACTAGACTGAGCCTCGGGCTACCTTTGAAAACAGGTAAAGGCGGCTATAAACGCTTGCCACTTCTTGGTAATTTCTTTCTCATTTGGATTCTTTCCCCTTCCCTGAACATGATGCGAGCATGACTTTAAAATGATAAACAGGTAAGTACGTACAAAACCCATGGAAACTAAGAATTCCAGAGAATCTGCTTCGTTGAGAGGCAGAGCGCACGGAGGAAATGCGAAAAGGAGATGAAACAGATAAGCGGCGTGATAAAATAGCTCACGTTCGTATCTCCAGTCTGTTCAGCAAAACAAGATACCCAAAAAGCACAGTCGACTGATCACTACGCTGTGTTGTATTGTTCATCCACTTGCTAAGTGGGTGAGATGATTTACAATTCCCAAAAGTTCTTAGTAGGGCATGCGCCTGTGCCAGCTGCTTGGGCAGAACGGTTAGGCAACCCGGTGTGTCATGGAGCACGTTTCCGGAAGCATGCCAAAGAAGACCTGTAACAGCTGCCACGGTTGGCCGGGGACTGTGACGAGTGCGCTCCTGAATGGTTTCCATTGGCTTCCATCGCAGGTCGTGCCGACACTCAGCGATCGTGACAGTCCTCGTCCTCCGCATTGCTTCGCAGTCGGCGGCTATGGCGATACCTGAAGTGACATCAACACTCACTATGCCTGTCATGTTTGCGGTGCCCTGAAGATCTCGCGGTTGCAACTGATCTTGTCTGAGGCGAGCGCAAGCAAGACAGCTTCTGAAGGGTCGTGCAGTGAGCCAATACTGCGGTCGACAAGACAATGGCAAATCTCTGGGTCATACCCTGGAGCCCGGTGAAACTACGGAGTGAGGAGATGAAGCCACCGAAGTGTCTGAGTTCTCAGGACGACAGAAGCTGCTGCTTGAAGCCTTCAAGTTTGTCCGTTTCCGGGCATAATGCCATGGACATGCCGCAGATATCATCTGGTCCGGCGGGAGTGTGAAACACCATGAAACATTGAAATCTCACAAGGCCCCAAATTTTCCGGGGGTGGCATGTTGCCACTGGCACCACATCTTGGCCCTTGCGCTGTACAGGAGATTCAGTGGTCAACATTTGTCAACACGAACCCCGAGAAGCTGTTGTAGCGTGTCTTTGTTGCCCAAGTAGGCAAGAATCGCGGCAAGAACAAGAATTAGGACCGTTCAAATACTGAGGCCCTGATGGTCACACACTTGGCAGAGAGGAGGCCTTGAAGCACTCTGACTCTGAAACGGCTACTGCAGAATCGGATTCTTCAAGACTTTATGCGTTTTCTATGGGCTCAACCATCGCTGTCGTCGCCACCTGGCCATTGTCGTATGCCAGTCGTGGGCTACCACTCGCAGACATCTCCAGTCTTCACAAATACGAGTTCGCATCGAAGAAAGTCCTCGAAAGTCGTCTGGCGTTAACTGCGTGACTGCCACAGCTGAAGACCCGCCTTCGGCAGCTGGCCTCAGCTTTTCTGGCACTCGAGTTCCCTTCTGTCGCACAAGTGAGCGGCGCAGCGTCCTCTCCGACGAAGTCAAGTCTGAGTCAAGCTGCGAAAGGCTGTCCGATTCGGACCCACCAGAGCGACCCATGTAGCTGCCGGCCTGCGGAGCTCAACTCATCTCGACTCTTCCCAAACTCTGACATGGCTGCGCAGCTTTTGATTGCAGAAGCGCATGTCTTGCCCATGCCCCTCTCCCTAAGCTTGACCCGAGGGCTGGCCGAATGGATCCTCCGCCCAGAAAGGAGACTTCCCAATTTGGGGGCAGCAAAAATGATAAGAAAAGCCATGTTCCCTGGAAGGGAGGTCGGGTGGTGGTACGTCCCCCGCCCCCCGTTGAAGCGGGGAGGTGTGGGCACGTCACCCCCGCCCCTGCGTCGATGGAGGGGAGGGGGGGGTGGTGGTAACCCCCCACAGGCTGAGTCAGCGCATGCCGCGTTGCGGGGAACTATCCGAGAAAGACAAGCTGAACGACCCTCCATCAACACGACGGCAAGTTGCAAGACAAGGCAACCCAACACAATACAGACAAGGCGAACGAGCAGACACACAAACAAACAAGCACCCGGGAACTTGCCACGGTGCCAGGTATCCAGTTCAGCTAGCAAGACAATCTCGAGTCTTGGGTTCACTTCCTTTGGTTTTCATCTCACTCTGTTGACTTTCATTTGCCGGTTTGCCCTTTCTGCAGAACCCTGCAGACGTCTCCACCGTGACTGCTCAACCAACTTGCAGATTCTCCTTCAGCCGGTCTCCCAGAGCCTTGTCGTTATGCAAGAACATTTGGATGTCGCCGCGCAGGCTGGCAAGTTCTTTGAGCCTCAGTGTTGGCGTCACACTGCAGCAATGTGTCTTCGGAGGGTCACACTCAGTGTACGGGTCTGCAGACTAGCTGCAAGGTGAGGCTTGTGTCCTAGCCAGACTCTCAACAGGCCATGGAGTCATTGACACTGACCTCTCTGCCTTGTAACGGCATGGAAGCCATGAAATTTCTCAAAGGTCCGGTGTCCTCTGCATACTGTTTGATCATCTTCTTCGTCGCACGGATCCTTGGGGAAGCGAGCACTTTGAATTTTCGAGGTTGCGCTCCGGACCCCCATACCTGCAGGCACATCTCTTTCGACAGGATTGACATGCTGCCTCCTTTCAGCGCTGGCTTCACTTGCCCCATTCGGTCAAGGCACTGCTCCTTGCAGTCTTTGACGGTTGCTGGGTTTGTTCCGCGCATGCTGAGCATGAGCTCGACCTTCACGCACAAACTGAAGAAGTGCTGCGGCTCTAGGCTTTCAATATCGATCATGACCTCGACGGCTGCTTCGATCTGAAAGCTTTTCAACGAACAAGCAGAGTACTCGACACACTGCACATTCATCGGCTTTGCCTGTAACATGGCGCATAAGCGCAAGCCAAGACACGATCTCCGGAAATGTGATGCCATTATCTCCTGCATCGCCGTGTAAAGGCAACGTTCTTTCACTGCAATCAGATGGCAAGTAATGTTGACCAGCTAAGGACATCATCCCTCCGCTGCAAAGGTGCAAGACAATACAATTCTTCGTGCGGATTGTAGGTATGTACCTATTTACCAATGCCTCCAAGCATCTACTTATCAATCTGTATAATATATTGTCACCTACGATGGTTGTCCGGAGTTCAAACTCATCAGGGACCGGACTGCCACTCCAGCCGCCTCTCCATTGAAACCGTCCCTGGTCTATGACGGTCTTTGTGATATTGAGTTTAAGCACCTTGTGGCTAACTCTTGCTACTTTTTGGGTCCATCACCGTCGCTTGGCCCAGTTTGCCTTCGAACAAGGTGCGAAAAGCATGGCAGGGCCCATACTTTCACATGTTGGCAAAGAGGAACATGGCGGCCCCGGTATGATGATAAAACGCAAAAAAAAACTTGATGTTTCTGCGCGGCCGCTGCTCTTGATTTTGATAGGGAAGTGCAGCGGCAGGACGGGATGGAGGCTTGAGGCCAGATTCTGCACAATGTGTTCTTTCACCCCGGCTTCGAATAATGTTGGAAAAGCAGGACAGGGACGATACTTTCGCATGTCAGCATCACTCAACATGGCGTTGCCGTTATGATGATATGCGCAAAAAATAAAGAACAAAAAGGATGTTTCTGCGCAGAAACATTTGTTGATAAATGGCTTGGGCATGGATGCACTGGCTAATGGATGGGTTGGTTGCATGGACGTGATCATGGTTTGGGCATGGATGCACTGGCCGATGGATGGCTTGGTTGCATGGACGTGATCATGGTTTGGGCATGGAGGCACTGGCCAATGGATGGCTTGGCATCATGGACGTGATCATGGCTTGGGCACGGCTGCACTGGCCAGTGGGTGGCTTGGCATCATGGACGAGATCCAGACGAGATCATGGCTTGGGCATGAATCATGGTTTGGGCATGGAGGCACTGGCCAATGGATGGTTTGGTTGCAAGTTGCAGGGACGAGATCATGGTTTGGGCATGGAGGCACTTGGGTTGGTTACATGCACGAGATCATGGTTGGGGCATGGATGCACTGGCCAATGGATGGGTTGGCAGCATGGACATGGGACGATGCCGACCTGAGCGACATAGAAGCGGGGCAAACGAGGGTGACAGAGCTTACTTTTTGCGTTGCAACCCCCGCGACCGCAGCGCTCACTATGACCTTCTGGCTTTCCGCACGGGTTACGTTGGTGTACGCTCGCGCTTTCGCTACGACCACTTCAAGTGTAGGGCTAGTGCTACTGCTATTGGCTCTTGCCGCCAGTCCCGAGTCGGATCCGTTTGCCGACGTTTTGGAAGGTCACGCGGAGTTCAAGGCACCGCACACACAACAGCTCCAAAAGCCCCATGTGCGCACCTTTCGAGAAATCCTCGTAAACCACATCCTTGGATGAAAGCTGGCAGCAAAAAAGTCAGCTCGGATTAAAAAGCACAGGGCGGCAAGGTGCAGGGTCGGCGGACTTGGCTCTAAAGGGGAATCCTGGCACCGAGGCTTCTGGCTGCAACCCGGCAACCAACATGTCCGCCATGGTCACGACATCAACGCCGGAGTCTCCGGCAACTCGTCGCACACCTGCAGTGCAAGTCAATCGCAAGTCTTTTCTAGCGGCGAGCCCTCGATCCAGTTTCTCTCTCTCTCTCTCTCTCTGCCGTTGCATCCAGAGGGTCTGGCAGCGCTTGGCAACGCGTACAACTATGCATTTCGAACGCAAACTGCACCACCACTGTCCATCCTTCTGGCAAGGCCTTGTCATCTTGCTGCTATGACAGGCTGTTGCGAACTTCCACTTCTTCAAGCAAAACTACAAAATGATATGACCATTCGCCATGAACATGGTGGTGTTAGTCATGATGGCGGTGCTCTTGACGATTTGTGACGACCGCGCCCACCACCGCAGTAGCAGCAGCAGCGGCGGCAGCGGCTGCAGGCAACGGAAAGGGCCTTGCAACGGCAGCCGGCAACAGCAACAGCAGAAACAACAGCAACAGCAGCAGCAACAGCAGTGAAGACAAAACGGAAGCACAAAGGCATGTGCATACAGCATAAATACACATAGAACGAAACGACGGTCGCTGTCACCGAGCGCCTGGATGGACGATTATCTCAGATTGGCATGTCACAGCAAGCGTCTGTCTGTGCCTGGTTCCATCATGAATTGTGCGAACTCCTCCTGTGTGAGGCAAACATCCTGCAGCAGCATGACAGATACGCTTTGACACGGGCAATCTAATCGGAGTGGAGTCCTGATGTCGGTTGGATTTGGCCAGCTCTTCCCTGCAAATCTGCACTCATGTTGAGACTGCTTTGAAACTGACGAATTCCGTGCAGCTTGCAGCCACTGCTGCGGAGCTGACGCAGGCCATCCGTTCGACCCTGCCTGAGTTCTCCAGCAATGAAAGCTGTGGCAAGCCTCTCCTGCGCTGGAGAGTGAGCAGCAACGTGCCGGTTGCTTCTGCAAAATGTCTTGCCAACACTTGCCGATGCGGGGGTCATGTCATGGGTCGATTCGGATGGCAGCAGCACGTGAGGCATGCCACACGGACTGACTGGCACCTTCTCTGATGCAGACACAGCGCTCATCACCTGCAGCCCGCGGACGATGCAGCCACGGATCCACCAAAACCCACAGACTCAGCTCGCAGCATCAACCAAAACTCCCAACAGCATGTACATGATGGTGAGAGATGCCTCAGCATGGCACTCATGTCACTGCGTTCTACTAATTCGCTTAATTCTCTAAACGTGTTTGGTCAGTCAACTTTGTATACGATTCCGGCTGTTGACGGTTATCAAACAGGGGTGCAACTGTCCCAGGCCGGTGGCTCTGAGGATCGACCTTCAAAGTTGACCCTGTGACAAGTGGGCAAGGAGAGCAGGATCTCGGATTCAGGACAGAAAAAAGGCAGTCCTTGTGGAGAACTGCTCCTCGTTGGATTTCTGTCGGTGTGGCACTATCTTGGCTGACCTAATTAAGTTGAATCCGGCATGCGGTGGCGGGAAATGACGGGAATCTAGGTCTAGCTCCCACCTTCCTCAACCTGGACTCTTTGATGCCCGCTTCACAACGGGAGACC